TCAGGCGAAGAGCAGTGGGTGGTGGGGACCTCTGGCAGGGCGATGCATTTCACCGAGCTGGAGGTATCTGAAAGGGCAACCTCTTCGTCTACGCCGAGGGGCGCTGCATCCCACCCTCGAAGAGATGCCTGAGGCACTTGCCTTCTGCCAGAGGAACTCAACCCCGCTCCCAAAAATTGCTCCGGAGAGACGTGCTAACCCAGGGGGCGAAACCAAAGCCCTGTGATAAAAACGGGACGGCAAGCGCGTGGGCGGGAGGGCCACCCGTCAGCCGCTAAGGGGGGGGTTCCTTCCTGAGCTGATCCCTGGGATTCCCCGGAGCTTCGCCTCTGATTCATGGGTGACAACTGCAGCCCGACACCCGGCTACAGTTTCCTTCGCGCTGTAATACTCAATCCAGAGCCGTGCCCCCGTTACCTAGGCTAGAGCCAAATATACCTTGCAGGCTATTTCAGCCTATAGATTGATTTTTCCAAAGCCTGAGCTGTCTCAGGATGGGGACATAAAGGGAGGCGAAGCGCGGGGCCGGCTAACCGGAGGGACGTTGTGACACCAGATCCAGAATCTCCTTTCCTTAAATAAAAAGCCCGAGCCTGCAAACATTTCTTAATGGAGCCACTGATGTTCGTAGCTAATAAAATAAATACTTCTTCATTCCCACTGTTTATTCGTTCAGTAGGCAGGTGAAAAAGGATGCGTTAGCCATAGGTCTTTTCCTTCCATACCATGCAATACTTCCCATCCTTTACTGTAACGAGCCTCCCTTAACTATTTTTTAATACCCCATGGAAATCCTGCGCTGGGAAGGGACTTTCTGAGTCGTAAAGTCCAACCTTTTGCTGTTGCATGTGCCGCAGCTAGAGAACCTTCTCTGGTTTATCAAACTCCATGCCTGCATTTCCCCCTCGCTTCTCCTTTTGCACATCCACAGGGATTTGAAGTTGTTTCTAGCCTAAAATTAGTCATAACCCGGTTTATACCCTTTCTGGGGCCAGCTGGGATAATATTTTTCTGGGTGCTACGGGCAGAAATCTTAGGGCTTTGGCAGATGAATTGTGGTTTGAGATGTTGTGTGAAAGGTGGATTTGAAATGATCTTGGAGCAAGGACACAACCTCTCGGATAACAGAACGGGCAAGGCAAAATTCCCAGAGAACCCAATTATATTCTTAATTCAGCAAAAAAAAAAAAATTGTAATTCATTAAAAATCTTTGAAGACTAGTTCAGTTTGGTTATTAAAATGCATTAAACCGAGCAAAAGAAGCAAAAGAGGACAGTTATCACTAAATACAACCGAACTCGTAGATAAACTAAGAATTTCACAGAACAAAGTGCTCTGGGTGGGTTTGGTAAAGGGCCACACGAGTGTTGAGCCGTGGATATCTGCACCGGATCTGCAAATATTTAGATGAATAAGAAAATAAATTAAAAAAAATTAATTCAAATATTGTGACATTTCAAACTTCTGACTGCTTGATCTACCAAGATACTGCAGTTTCATCGTATATAAACTTTATGCTTCCATTACAGTCGATAAACAATATTTGATTTTACTTTTTTTCCACACGTTTTAGGCCAGATTTGATGGCCATAAAATTTTCTGGAAAGAAATTTTTCAGCAGGGCTAACTTAACTAGAGAAAGCCATGCCTTATTTCAGTAGCATTTAAATTACTGAGGAATAAAAATATTTAGTTACTCATAATTTGGATTCTTGAATATGTAGGTTTTCTGTAAACCTTAATGTAGATGAAATGTTTGTTAAGATAAATTGTATCTTGTCCAACTGGCAAGAAATAGGTTTGTTTTTTATTAAACCCACAAATTTCAACCAGATGGTCAGAAAGTTTGTTCCAGCTTTTTTTGGGGTTTTAAACGTCAACGTAGGTAATGCAAGAGAAAGGGAAGGCCTAAAACACGAGTTAATTTTTGTTTTTTCCCCTTTAAATTTCGTTGTGGCTTGCAAATAATATCTTTTAGCTACCAAACATTTCCCAGGTAGATAAGCACCGAACATATTCAGTACCCAGACTCCTGCCTGCATCAAAGCTGTGCCTGCTGGGACCTTTTTCTGTTAAACGTGCCAAAAAATATAGCGGGTAACTGCTGCTAAGCTGTGTGCTGGATGCTACGCAAACAGGCAGGAGACAAATGTTGTCTAGCGTCGTGATGTGAAAGCGTATCGGAGCCAAGCTGTAGCTGCCGGGATGTTTTGCCACGTACCTTAAGTTAATATTTAACCAAGCGCCTGCGAAAGGAACCGAATCCTGCTGTGTTTTCCCCCTGGTCCATCACACAGCTCCATAAAAGATATCAATAACTGGATTTATCACTAGCGGGGAAGAGCTAGAATCTGCAAAACCACCTGGTTTAATTTATATTGTGTTGCATCAGCCCTTTAATTTTTAACTCTTGGCTGTTGCCATGAATGGAGCAATTACGCCATAACAGAATATCCCTCAGCATCCCCTCCTGCTGTGGAGCTCGGATATTTTGTTTTTAAATTAATTTCTAAACAGCACAGCTGCAAAGAAACCTTTCCAGCATCCGCAGACGGCGGTGGGCTCCTTCCTGCAGGCAACCTGAAGCGACGTACCCACACACGTAATGAGAAGTGCGAAAGTAGTTCAACGTTAAAATCAAATAAAACAGCTAATTCCCTATTTTTATTTCCCTAGTTGTATAGTCGCATTTGTTTAATATATTAAACACAGAGTATGGATCTTGCCGCAGAATTTAGCTTGTGCTCCAGGAGGAGGACGCGTTCATAAAGCCTGGCGTTCATCCACCCCCTTAGGCAGTTTTTCCTCTGCGGTCAGTCCCTGGGAGGAAGAGGAAGAGCACTCTTAGGTACCTGCACATCAGCGGGTTCTCTTTAAATTCCACCAGACCAGCAGGTTTAGGTTCAGAAACAAATCGCAAATTGGGCAGCCCTCCTTTGAAACGGTCGCACGGAAGGAAGGCAGCCGATCTGCAGCCGGACTCTGTAGCGTGAAGAATAACAGGATGGGGATGGTATAAAAAGCGGTAGGAAAACGTCTCTTTCAAGCACGTCTGGAGAGCCAAGTGTCAGGTTAGGCCGTTAGGAACGGCAGATTTTATGGGTAGCACCTCTTTTATATGATGACCCCTTCTTCTGAGGTCCACGATACGCTTCGCCACTTCGTCCATCCTTTTCTGCTGAAGTATTTCCTGCCTGAGCAGAGACGTTGAGATGATCTCCTTAAATGTAGCACTAGCCCCAAGAGATACCCTTAGTCTGGTGGTGCTTCCTGGGACAAAGCCCGCAGTCCGTGAGGACTGGGAACGCGTGGTGCCTTCGCTCGTACGGTGGATTTATTTATGATTCTCTTGTTCGCCAACGACAGGCTCTACAGGACGTTCAAGGACAGCAAGTACCTGTACATGCTGATGGAAGCCTGTCTAGGTGGAGAGCTCTGGACAATTCTCAGGGACAGGTGAGTTTTAAGAAACTATTGTCTTAAAAAGTGGAATATTTTCTAATATGCCTTCAGATGACCAGAGGTCTTTGTGGGCAAAAATCTGGATCTTACCACACCGTTTGATTTAAGATCCCGGAAAGGTGAGGAGTTATTTTTGTTCCTACGCGGTTGACTAGAGACAAAGTGAATCCAGTCATAACTGAGAATAAAGACGGATTTTAGGTTGCATCCGGCAGGTACAAGGCTTTATGTAAGTGGAGACTCATCCAGAGCTACTTTCTCACAGCCTCCCTGAAAAACAGGTAGAAAGCAGTGATGGTAGCGATGGTAGTCACGTGATAAATTGCATCTATGCTAAGTCTTTGACTGCCCTTTCCCTGTATCTTCATCTCTAAAGGGTAGCCCTAAGTAGCCGGTGGCATATTTTAATGTTAATGTAACTAATTAACTAATTTTTCATTACCTAGACCAATAACCTTTTACAACCACAGAAATCACAGCTGTGCCCTCGGTGCCCGTGCTGCCGTTTCTCAGGTTTGGGAGCCTCGGCGTGGAGGCTCACGCACCTGCTAGAGAAACGTGGGACGGTCCTAAGGGTGACGAAGCCTTCGGGCACCACGTGTGATGGCAGGGAGTGACCCTGGAGGCTCAGCGCAGTGCAGGAGGTGCAGTGTCAAGGCCAATCTCACTGCGTTCCTGCCAGACATGGTCTGGAGATATGCTCCTTCCTCTACGCATTGCTCTCGTGGCCGTTTCAGACTCCGGGATTGCAAACGGAGGCCGTAAGGCGGCAGTGGCGTTAACGAGAGTTCACAGTTGCCGACGAAATCCATGGGAAAGTGCATTTTCAAGGTGAAAAAAATGCAGACTTCTTCAAAGTCATGTCACAGTTCCCCGGCCCAGCGCTGCCCTTTTCATCCACCCACCCTCTGTAGCTGTGAATAGCAGCATCCACCTCTGGCGCGGAGGCACCGGGATAAACAACATCTATTAATATTTCTTCATATTTATGTCACAGTCAGGTGTGGTAGTGACGAGCAGGGGGGTGGAAATCAATATTCTGCCTGAGCTCTGAGTGCAGACATCGCATATTAAACGAGGGCCACTCGTCAAAGCGGGAACGGGGATCGCGCAGCACGTCCCCACCCTGCGAGGAGCACCGCGCATTCGGGATGCAGAAGCGCCCTGGACCGGAATAGTCAGGGAAGCGTGTAATTACACACCACGCCGTAACGCTCGAGCAAACGCGGTCCTGGTATCTCCTGCCTTGGGAGGGTTTGACCTCGCGGCGTTTGGTTTTGGCTGCGTGCGAGGAGGTGGCGGGTGGGTTGCACGGGCCGCGCACGTCCTAACGCCCGCAGGGCAGGAAAGGTGTGGCGAATCACGTAGAACTACGTAACAGGCTCGTAGTTGGAGCGTCACTTGATTAAATTTGGAAAGCGAAAGAAATGCATCGGAACGATTGATCAGAAAGCAAAGATGAAATTCTTTTTTAATTACCTGGAATGAATTTTTCATAATTCTTCCTTTTCCTAACAGCACACCTTCTCCGGGCCACGAGAACTTTAGCAAAGTTAACAGGTGCCGGGTTCTGGTTTTTCATCCTCTTTGTCAGAGGCTGATAAGTTCAGCTTTAATTCTCTCGGCTTTAAATTGTGGTTCTGCTGCCACCTAGCTTAGTCACGCTTCCGAGCTCAGCCAGCTCCCGGCGGGCATGGGGGCATGGTTTGCTTCGGAAAACTGGTGGAAAACCTGGTGCTGAAACAAGGATCCAAAAGTGCAGTTTACGCTGAATTTGCAATTAACACTTCAAGTCCCAGCAATAGCAATTTTTCTGCCTTTTGTCTTGGTTATGAACATTAGTACGGGAGTTCTTGATCCCCACATCTCAAAAATAGCCTTATCACCCAACAGTCAAAGGTTATCATAAAAAACAATCACCTGTTATTTAGAAGGTATGTGTACATTTTCCTTCTCTGAGATGTAATCATAAAAGAAAACTAAAGATTTTCATATTAAATAAATTAAAAATACTTTGGATTCACGTATTTGATATGAAGGTGGATTGAAGGCAAAGATGCTACCTTCAGAAATGGAAACGCAATTAAATACAAAGGTGAGTTTAGCAACAGGCACTTTCCAGGTATTAGCGTGATTCTGCTGCACCGTGTAGATATTTTAACCATCGGGTGAAGTCCAGCAAGGGAAGAGATCTAATCGCTTTATCCCCTTTCCCTCTCTCGTTTGACGTAGAGGTTCGTTTGAGGATTCAACGACCAGATTTTACACGGCGTGTGTGGTCGAAGCTTTTGCCTATTTGCATTCCAAAGGGATCATTTATAGGGACCTCAAGCCAGAAAACCTCATTCTGGATCATCGAGGTTATGCCAAACTGGTGAGTACCTGCAACGTCTGGTTTGGCCAAAAAAAAAAAAAAACCCCAAATTATCACCACTACTATCAGACAACTAGTGTTAGCAGTGGAGGAGAACGTAGGGTTGGCCATTAGAAGCAAAGTCCACCCAGCCCAGGGTCCTGTCTCGGATGGTGGCCATCAGTAGATGATGAGATCAGGGCAAGGGTGACGTCACCCATCACCAGGATGTTTTCCCAACCTCCAGTGGACTGAGGTTCAGGGTACAGCTGAGCTGGGAAACACTGATTCTGCCTTGAAATTCAGAGCTGTGGTCCCAAAGTGGAAATGTGTAGCAAAAAGCATCAAGAGAAATCCATCCAGCTCTTTTGGAGCTACTGGAACACTCAAAAATAACTTGAAAATAGGTGTCCTAAACAGGGGGAGGACTTGCATCAGTGGGCTTTCTAGGCAACTGGTGCAGCAGATTTTGCAGGCTATTGTTTGTGTGTCAGGTCCTTTGTGGAAGCAATAAAAAAAGGCATTCTTAATGGAAATATTAATCATGGCAAGAAATTATTATTATTGATTGCTCTGGACTGTGTTGCTGAACTGTGGCCAGTACAGCTCCTTGCTTTGGAAGGGCCACTTGTGTTTTAGCACCAATAACACACCTGACCGATCTGTGCAAACTCCTCTGGGACGACTGCCTGAGGCTCTGCCCGAAACTGCTCTTCCCAGAAGGTCACGCTCCTTTCTCGGTGCTGTCCCCCTACAAGATCTACCTCCTCAAACCGGGATGGCAGCGTGTACAAGACCTCCGCTCCCCAAATTAGGGAGTTACCGATGGGTTTCACTGTCTCGCTTTGTTCGCTCAGATTACTTTTTTTGCCTCAAAAATCACTGTAGAGGTGCCCTGCGTGTAAGGTGCAGCCCAAATGCCAGGTGAGACCATGGAGAAGGGGAGAAGAAAAGAAAGACCTCTCTTGGTGGGAGGTGCTGGAGGACATGGGCACGTGGGAAGCCACCAGTGAAGGAGGGGGCAATACACTCCTAAAAGCTGTGTCCAAGAGGAGCTGATGCCGTCACAGGGGGTGGGCAAGGTCTCTGCCTCTTGCCCTGGAGACTCTTCCCTGCCTTTGGGAAGGGAAACTTGGGAGCAGTAAGTCAGACCATGACCATCATGGACCTTGACGGCCTGGTGGCAGCCACCATGTGTCACCGTGACACTAAGCCTAATGAATGACATCACAGTTTGTCCTCTACAGAGTTTCGCTAAGGCTGGGGGGGAGTCCAGTGAGGTGTGGGATGATTGAGTTGGATTAGGTGTAGGACTGTCCTTCTCCCCCACCCCAGGAGGATCTGGGCCAGGGTTTGTGCTGGTCCCATCACCAATGCCCAGCTCCTTAGACATTTTGATCTTCATGGATACATCCACGATAGCACGAGAAGCATCCCAGATCCCTTGTGGGACTGTGACCATGTGGGACATTTTGCTCCTGACCATCTCAAGGTGTAGGAGCACCTCAGAGCCATGGAGGGACAGCAGAGTGTGCTGCAGCCCACAGCTCTGGGCCAGCCCAGCGCCGAGGCCGGGGAGGGCAGGGGGGAGCAGAGCTAAAAATACAGCAAGCCTGTTAACCCGAGCTCTGCCCGGGCCCCAAGGGACGGCTTCGGTTCCCAGTGTAACCTGATTTTCCGTGCCTGCGGGTGGCACGGGGCAGTGCCGTAGGGGCACGCTGAGGGCTGTGAGCCATCAGCACGGCGTAACAGCCCTGAGTCCATCGGGAGAGCTGGGTGGATGCCGCTTGTGCTCCATTGCTCTCTGTACCGGAGAGAAATCGGAACTTTTCAGTAGATGCCAAAAGGGTCAGTATTTAGCCTAAATAGTTCCTTGCTCAGGGAAAGGCTGGGAAATTGGGGGGGGGGGAATGAAAGCAAAACAAATCAACCTGAGTTGTGAACGATATGGAGTTACATCTCCCAAGAAACCCTCGGTGTTGGCCTTTGTTCTTTTTCCCTCACAAGAATTTTCTTTTTATATTCCAAAGGATAAATCGGCGAAAAGGTCAATGTGGTTGCCCGGTTCTGGAAGGACCCGCCATGCTTTAGTTAGGAGAATATTCCCACGAGGAAACCTCCTTTCTGCTTTGCTTCACTTCAAGAGGAGCGGAGCACGCGGGTGACATTCCCTCTCGTGCTCTGCCCTGACGGTCCTCTGCTCCTTTCTGCAGGTCGATTTTGGCTTTGCAAAGAAAATAGGATTTGGAAAGAAAACATGGACTTTTTGTGGAACCCCGGAGTACGTAGCCCCCGAGATCATCCTGAACAAAGGTCACGACATTTCGGCAGACTACTGGTCACTGGGAATCTTAATGTATGAACTCCTGACTGGCAGGGATGGGGATCGGGAGCCGCTGAAACCAGATCCGAATGTTTCTGCCGTTGTCACCCTGATTAGGCAAGGGGAAGGTTCAGAGCCGGTGCATGCTGTAGCGGCACAGCGCTGTGCCGCTGAACCTGATAACGAGTTTTTCTGCTTTGAGCCGCGGCATCCGTGCGGACCTCTCAAAAGGCAAGACATGAGCAGGCTTTATAGGAAATGCTGTGAAATGACACCGAAAATTCGGGTTTGGCCCTGAGTGAGCTGAACACGGTGGGGAGAGGGAAAAGATTTGCAGTTCAGCTGGGGAGGTGTGGCGATGGGGTGCCACACGTCCGAAAAGGAGGAGGTGGGCCTGACACTGTGGGGACTGGAGTCCCCGTATCCATCCCTTCCCGTGGTTAGGTCTGGACGTATGTGTCACTGCTGAGGTTGGCAGTCATGGCTTCCTGGCACCTCCTCACCTCATCCCCCATCGCTCGCTCCTGGGATACAGGAGCTGGAAGAGGATCCACCACCTCAACCTGCTTATCCTTTGGGGCTAGACCCAGCCCCTGTTCTGTCAAACCAGGGCAAACCTAATTAATCCCCTCTGAAAGCACGTCACGGCATCAAACAGAGAGCAAGCCGGCCAGGCCATCGTGGAAACGAGAGGTTTAGCACGCACTGCTGCGGAAAACGTGACTCTACGGGCTGGGGCTTCCCTCCAGCCAGCACCGCTGAAATCCAGGCAGTATCAGAGGTCCTTGGCTGAGAAACGGTGACGATCATAGAGACCAAAGCCATGCTAGCTGTCATCTACCTGGTCTCATTTCAGTAGGGTGCTACGTTTTGCTTTGGTTGGTTGGGTTTTTTTTAAATTAATCTTGAATGCTGTTTTAAAGATGAGCTTTTAATCTTTCTTTTCCTCTCCCCTCTGAAGTCCCCCTTTCTCAGGCCCAGACCCCATGAAGACCTATAACATCATATTAAGGGGCATAGACATGATTGAATTTCCAAAGAAGATTGCCAAAAATGCTGCTAATTTAATTAAAAAACTATGCAGGTAAACGCATGAGATATCATCGCCTTGATCTTATTTGCAAAGGAAGCAGTTGTTCATCAGTATTAAGAAAGTAACTGATTTTGTTATTCATTTTATAGGGATAATCCATCAGAAAGATTAGGGAACTTGAAAAATGGAGTGAAAGATATCCAAAAGCACAAGTAAGTGTCTTCTCCACCCTTCATCAGATCCAACCCACAAGAACCACGCGTTTCAAACACTTCAGCTGTCTGCAAAAAAAATACTTTTCTTAAACTCTTTCGGCCTTTTCTTTCTAGCATGCTTTAGACTCTAACTGAATTTCCATCAGCCTTTTTTCCCCCGCGGTGTTTTGGTATGGATGCCAGCCTTGCCTATGACCAAAACGCATTGCACATTGATCTTTCTGCTTTAATTACTCTAATTGCAGAAGAGCATTTGGAAGTAATCCAACTCGGCCACTGCCTGCTTGGATTATTTTTTATTTTTTTTTGGTTTGCAGAATTACTTTCCAAGGTTTTCCTGAATTTCCCTTTTCCCCCCCCGCCCCCCAGCCCAACACACTTTCTCCCTACTCGTAACATTAATTCGTCCTCCTGTTTGGTCTGATGGGAGAGAGTTGTTAAGCAATGCCTCCTAAGTTTTCACACTGCTGGAGGGGAGTAAGAACAAGTTGCAGAAGCAGGTTATCTCATCCATCCGTGCTGGTCCTTCTCTTCTCCCATGCCCAAAGCAATAGGAATGAGTTGGATGGACAGTTGGGGTGGGTGGGTTGAAGGCTCAGCTCAGGGCTCGTCCACCCACCTCGGCTGCCGTATTTCCGAGCAAACCCGAGGTGCTCAAAGCTGGAGGACATCATCCCTGGGCATGCCTTCAGCGCCCCACCTCATTTGATGAAAGGACATCGGGGGTCTCGTATGGGAGGGATCAACCCTGTAGGAAGGAAAGAGCAGCTGCCAGGACACCTGCGGTGAGGAATGGTTTTCTTCTGAGCGTTGATACCACTAGCCGTGGTATCACCACTGGGTTGCTGTACACGCTTCATTTCGGTCCCAACAACCGTATATAAGGATGACAGGAAAAATTGGAAGGCTAACTGGACACTTTGAAGAAGGTGACGGCAGGAGCTGGAACCCACTGTTGAGACAATTTAAATTACATTCTGTGCTACAGAGAGATTTATGCCCTATGTCTAACTCTTTCATTATTCCCTCCCTTCTAGATGGTTTGAAGGCTTTAACTGGGAAGGGTTACGAAAAGGGACACTGACACCTCCTATAATACCAAGTGTAAGTTTTCCTACTTGTTTTCTCCTTCCTGGCCAATAAGTTTCTTTTACGCGAGCGTCGT